TTTTTACAAAACTGCCTACCAGTGCAGCAACAAAATCAGACCAGGTTGTGAAGATGAATATGTTCACACTGGTTTGAGACCACCAAAAATTATAGGAAATTTTATGAACATAGTAGACTCTTTTTCCAAACTCTCCGAGTTTACAGATTCAGTTTTCGACTTACGATGATTTTTCTATAAATATTCTAAAACAATGATAGTTAAGGGTAAAACTGTCAAAACGAGTTTAAGAGTTATTCACACCTTGTAACATGCTAAGCAAGGTGTGTAAGATTTTATACTTAGTATTTTCAATGTCATTTTATTGAAATACAAAGCCATGCATAACAAGGTTTCATTTAAAACATAAAACACTCTTGATAAATTATAATAGGTATAGTTTGGACACTTCGTTTAACAAAGAAACAGTAACACAATCGATTTACAAAACGGATATTTCATTACAAACTACGTGAACATGTTAATGAATAAATTTGTGAGACATTCGCCTTCAGGGTACTTTTAAGTACAACAGAAAAGTCTTGTAGTTATGGCCAAAATCTCTTGTAGGGAGAGCGTGATAGTTGTGTATAGATCTATATTGGGTCTGACAAACCCGCACCTGAGCTGCTTGCAACAGCTAGACCGGCAGGTCTGGGGTGACAAGTGTCATAACATTCCGACGCCTGAAGAACGTCGAGTACGAGGTCTTCGAGTTTTAGCATGGTTATAACAAAACACACAATTCACGAGGATTTAAGGAGTTTTATTTAAATATAAAACCACACACACACACAAGTATGACGATTTACTTACATATACTAAGTCTTTGTTCAGTTAAGACTACAACAAACCTTTAGAAAATATTGGATTTTCTGGAAACAAACTTGTAACAAACTTAAAGGAACATCATTCATTTTTCATTCATAAATTGCTTATGAACTCACCAGCTCTATGCTGATACTCTTTCAAAAAACAACTTGTATTCTCAGGTATTCAGTAATACATGTAACCACAAGATTTTTTGAAGGCAAGACGCTAAGGCGCAGATTTCTTTTGAACTATATTTGACATCATATGTAATTTATTTGGAAACATTTATTTTTTTGCAACGATGTAACCTTTTAAATTATATTTATGATGGTTGTGTTTACTTTCTTCACTATGGTTATGATACTGAGCATGACGTCCTCCGCCCCCGAACGTTTCCGCCGTTCCGGTTTGGGGGTGTGACAATTTGGAATCATAAACTACAGACAAATGTGTACAATCAAGCCTTCGCCTTCCCGCGATCATCAGAAGTACCTGAAACACATTTAATAAACAACTGTAAGCACAAATCTTAGTGAGTTCCCCAAAGTATAACATATAATACAACACAGATAAATAGTTACGGGTTATCAGCAACCCTGGAGACTACCCGAAGTCTCAATGGGCAAACAGCACACCCTGTGGATTATCAGCAATCCTGGAGACTACCCGAAGTCTCAGCACACACAGTAACACATATCATAGTAATAGCAACTAGACATTGTTGGTTAACACATATGTTTTACCAGACATGTAAGTATAGTGAGGAGACTCACCTCGCATAGATGACTGATAATACTCACATCCGAACTATCAGATATAGACTTCGCCTATTAATTACACCAGACAACCCTAATTAACAATTAAGGTAATTTTCCATACATAAGTAGTCACAAGCCATGTCTAATCCACAATTTGGGCAAAACACCATTTTTCCCCTTCCAAGACCAAAGCCCTCACAAATTGACTAAAAGGCACACTTGGTCAAAAAGTCAAAGAAAGTCAAAGGTCAACACATTTGACCTTACGCGCGGCATACTCAAGCTCTACATTGGGCATAGAGCACAAAGGCAGAAAACGGGTTCTCAACTAACTACGTTGGGTGTATTTAGATTTATGTTGGGCGTACACGACCCAAAACCAAACTTATCTTTTAAGCTCTTAATCATTAAGACACTTTACCCCAACTTCAGATATGACCCTATAAGGCATTCTATTCCATAAAGTCTCCAAATTTTAAGCCTTTGCATGGCTAAAGAAATCTTAATCCCAAAACCCTAACTTCTAACATCACCAAAAACCCATAACTCAAGCATGGATGAAAGGAAAGGACCAAGCTTGCATTTTTATGACACTATGCACTCTAAAACGTCTGAAAGGACAGCTCAAGTGGTCTGGAGTAGTCCATACTCACAAATACCAAGGTTTTGGGACAAAATGGACATAAACTTAAGCTTAAACAAGATCTAGCAAAGCAATCCTCAAGGTATGAACTTTATACATTCTTAAGATGAACAATAAGGTGTAGATTCTGGATCCAAGGACTTGAGTGCACCACAACTTCTTCAATGATCTTCCTTCACCACCAAAAACACTCAATAATCACACAAAGGCTTTAAAACTCACACTCAAGAGCTAGGGTATCGATATTTGGGCTAAGAGGGATGAAGGTTGGTCTTAAGAAGGTTCAAAGGGGAATGAGATGTTTAAATAGGGGACACAACCCTAAAAATTTATGGTTTAGGAGTAGCACGAGTACGCCCAACGTACTCAACCTCTGCCTCGATCCTTTTTAAAAACTTACCCCCGACGTACAGTTCGTGTACGTTGAGTGTAAGGGCTTATTATGCAAAAATTTGAAATTTAAAGGTTGAAAATGGAAATACCTGGGAACGGGTGTTACAACATTGGTTTTTCATTTATAACTATTAAACCATAATTTGTTAAAAAAATGATTTATTTTAACCAAGGCCGGTCCCGAGGATTCAAATGCCCATGACGAACCAGAAAAAAAAAATCCCTTATGCATGGCCCACAAAGAGTAATTTGAATAAAGAAATAAAAGTGTGTTGCTATTTTGAGTAATAAAATGAAATTACATTGCTATTAATAACAACTATATCAAAGGTATAATATTGAATTCAAAGAAATGAAAAGTATGATGCCTTAATACAAAAAAGACAAAAGTATGTTGCTATTTCGTGTATTCAGTTTATCTTTATATATACTCTTTCATTCCAAGTCTGTCCTAATTAAGCTTGGGTTCTATCTCCTTGGCTTATGTAAATTGGATTCAGGTGCATACCAAACACCAGAATGGAATCATACTAAATTTCAATTATAGGTCATATCTAAGCAACTTTCCAATCCAGTATTGCTCGATATAAAGATTGGCGGGTCCCATCCACGCAAATTTTGAACAAAAAGCAAAAGGATGTTAAAAGTCGTCAAGATGGAATCTTAAAGCATAAATAACAATTATTTTTAGTCTGTTTTAGTCATGAACCATTTGTCATTCACATCATATTTGAATATAATATGGAGTAGTTCGGTTATTTATACCCGGTATGTTGATTTCACGACTAACAACGATGAAATCCTCACGTGTTTGTACATAGTGAACAAAATTATGGCCAGGATGTAATGATACTCATTAAAAACATGAGATTACAAGTTATTTCTATAATCAACTCATGTAATAACGGCTTTTAAGCAATAAAAAAATTATAAATATAAGAAACCTAAAACACTGGAAAAAAAAACATAATTTAAATAGCACTATTACATGTTCAATAAGAATCAAAGTCCATATCTACATCTTCTAATAAATGAAACCTAAAAATGACACGTGTCAGTTTTTTAGAATGTCTCTTTGACACGTGACATTTTTCTATGATTTTTGTTATTTCCTTTTTTTTGTAACAAATCAAATTCAATTCAAAATTTGAAAATACAAAATCATATAACATTATTATGTTTATTTTGCTTATCAAATTAATTCATAATTACTTACAATGATAATATCTTGGTTTTTTTACATTGATTATTTTTTTTATCTATATAAAAATTTTAAATATACCGACCGTGGTTTCCACGAGTTATAACCTAGTAAATAGTAATAAGTTGTTCGTTTCCCATATGCTTGGTGGACAAGAATAATTTTTCGATTTGGTTCAGGAATGACAAATTTAAAGGCATGAAATGCTTTTGATAAGTCAAGTGAACTGGTGTTTTAATAACAAGTCAAAAGAAGATATTCACTCTGTCATCCGACCAAACACATCATACACACACATTTTGCATCATAACAATGTCTTTTTAACATTATATCAAACATTTGGAATGTCTCTTTAAGATCACCAATAATGAATGAAACCAACAAAAAATATATCTATCTTGTGTGGTCGTCAATTTCAATTGTTTCTAAAGGAACCAATACAATCCTTTACTTATGATCGATGATTACCTATTTACCTTATTAGCAATAGCATGACTGTATGAGTCAGGAGTGATTTTTCGTAATCGATTAATCCCCCTCCGCCCCTTGCTTGATCTTGAATGATCGCTAATATTCGCTTCTGCCAATCTGTCTTTTGTATTGCGTTCGTGTGTGGACTACGAGTCTACAACTGATCGAAGAGTTGGACTGTATTCTGGACGACTAGACTATCTTTCATTCATTTGCATTTGTGCCAAATTGTTGATGGTTGAATATAGTAGAAAAAAAAATCCGTCCCCTAAAAAAGTAAGCCATGTAAACATGCTTCACTTGCCCCTTCTCATAAGTGAGTCTAATTTTAACTATATAATTATATTCATGTACAACGAATGAGAATTCGACTGGTATTTATATAATTAAACAATCAATAATTAATTGAACTCTATTAAAATTTTCGACATAATCATATTATTTTTCATACAAATCCACCCCTTTTTTTCTTAAATATAAAAACAGTTGAAAACCTAACATCTAAGTATTAGTTAAATTTATCAGTCAATCAAAATTTAGACTTTTCACTCCATTTTACTTATACATTAAACTATACATTATATATTCTCTTATATATACACATAATAATACACGCCTATAATTTTTCATAGACAATTGAATTCGCCAAGAAAAATATAACAGCTAAAAAACCAAGAAAAACCAATCAAAATGAAAATATTAGAATAAATAAAATATTTATTTGAGTGAAATATGTAAATAATTACATCACCACTTTGTTCACGGTCCGACCGTTTTTCTTTGGCTGATCCATTGTTCCGTCATTCCCTGCAAGAACTCTATACTTGTCCTTCCTCGTAAAATTTGTGCACTCAAACCCTAAACTTGCCGCCAAGATTCTCTGAACATAATTCGCGACGTCTTGAGGGCTCTTTCCCGACGAACATGTTGCCTCTGCCGGCAACTGGTTCAAGAATATCACCTCGTACATGGGTGTTGGGTTCATCAAGAAAAAAATAGGGTCTAAACCTTTCCAACCCCTAGCAGTGGTTGCATGGAAAAACTCGAGTCGATAATTCATTGCAACGGGCACAATTCGATCGGTTAGTTCTGCAAAAAGCGCACTAAATCGTAGCAGAAAGGGTTCTCTGCAAGTTGTACCTTCCGGGCAAATCACCAAATCACCTTCGGATAATCCTTTTTTTATCCGTTCCGCATCCACGTGTCGGTTTCGGGTCAAACGGACGGTTTGGATCGGAGACAGGAGCTCGGATAATCTTGATAGTGAGTAGGTGACCGCCGGGATCTTGCGTTGGAGAACTGCCGATAACGCAAGAGGGTCCATTAGGCTTCGGTGGGTACAGACGAATAGCACGCCGGAGTTTGACCGGCGGGAAGGTGGCGGTGGTGGAATTCCTCTCACAATGACTCTCCCGCCGAAGAATGCCATCACGTAAGGAACCATACACATTGGCAAAATGTGGGCGACAATTATACGAGTGATTGAGAGTATGATTCCGAACGGGATCCAAAGGAGGATCAAAAGAGCTGTGGAGGGAGTCGGCCTCTTTACGAGGCGCCCATCATGGAAGATCACCGGCACCGGCTGGATTTCTTGATCGGCGATATGCTTCTGGTTTTTGGTCATCAGGTAAGGTGCATTCACTTGTTCCTGTTGCATATATATGAATTAGTAAGCTTTCTTTCATGCACGCAAGATTATATATATGAACTAAAAAGGATTTAATTTATTACCTTGCATAGAGATAAAAATGAAGAATCAGAATGGCATCTTCCTATCCCTAAGCTAGGTTGTTTATCTCCAAACATGGCTGCAATACGATCACAAATTGAGCCACCAAAATCACCCACCTGGACTAACCCCGTGGCTAACCCAAACCGGCTAACCCCAAGTTCACTCCCAACAACATCATCTGCTCCGAGATGCTCCCTGACAAACCGCTCCACCATAATCCTCGGCATCTTGGTCACGACCACCCTTCTTTCACAGGAGCTAAACACCCTCCAAGCATCTTTGTCAAGGTCATCAAAATAAAACTTGGGCAGAACTGCTCTCGCCACAGATTCAATCTCCGACATGGAAACGCCGGCGGTGGCAACAAAAATGGCCAGCTTTACACCAGTGTCGCCCTTCCCACAAATATCTAGTAGTCGGATTACCGGCCAAATTAGTAGTAGAAATGTGAAGCGGGTTAAACCGGAGGCTTCGAAAGCTAGTAGCATGAAGTAGGAGAAAGGATCGTTGTTCTTCAAGAGTGATCCTTCTAGACCAGATACCACAGACTCCATTAATATTTAATTTGGAGTTCTTGACGAATGTTTTAAAAAGAAATCTAGTGACGATGATATAGCGGTGGAGATGAGAATGGATTTTATCGCATTTCGTAGATAGAGGTGAAAGGTAGATTGGTTGATGGCTAATTCGGCTTATCATCAGTCTACACCCACCGTTAATGGAAGCAAATTAATAAGGTCGTTTTTTTACCCATGTTTTTTGAACTATTGTAGTTTTGTAGTACCTATATACCTACCCTTTTACTATCTTTATTATATAATATATTATATTTATTGATTGATCATGAGAAGCCTCGATCTCATTTAAAGTCTATACAACTCACGTATGTCACATCAACACCATACATATAACCTTGTAAATTTTATAAACCACCTTCCATTATCTCATAAACCTCTATAAATAATTCCATCGCTTTATTTATTTATCTAACTATATTTTTATATCAAATTATTAAACACCATATTCATATTTAATAATATATATTCTCATTTTAAACGTATGGACAATATTTTATCTGATGATATAACTTATGTCATGCTTTTAAATTATAGATTAAAAAAATAGAAAACAAGTACAATTCCTTTGTTTTCTTAAGAAAGTGGGGACTACAAAATGTTAAACTACCATGGTATTGAACACCCATGCAACGGCGCGTCACCATGCCACATGTGATAGGCTCCGTGTCCAGTACGGGGTAGAAAATGCTGAGGTGGTCCATCGTTTCAATTTGTCCATCATTTAAAGAGCATCTCTTGATCTGTGTTGGAGCTCATGTTGTGGTACATGCATCATAAAAGTATGAACAGTGACAATTGTACATTATTAATGAATGCTATGATTATCAATAAAATACCACGGCTGATCTATATACCCCTTGAAAATTGAAATAAAAAACCCGCAAATCTGAAGTATCGTTTTGAGCAACAACAAATTAATCGAATAGCATTAAAAATGCCGATCGATTTTAAATAATGTTATCTATATATTTTATTGTAGTTATTATAAATATCGAGATAAACTGTGCATATTTTTAAAATTTTCACCTATGTCATTAAATTTGCAAGTTGCTCGTAGTTTACGTCATTTTCTATTGACCGTGTCGTACATCCGATACGGACGTTCTCTTAATTGCGCGTGAAAGTGGTCTAAAAACGATTCCAAAAACTTTGTGCCGATTGTACATTGCCTATTTGCTTGTCTTCTGATATGAAAATTTAAGTTTTCGCTAAAGCTTCCTCTTCTTCTTCGCTCCAACCCTGATTTTTTTTAACCATTTCATTTCCTTTGTCTTCTTCTAGGTGGTGGTTGAGTTTTTTGGACCCTTTCGTCATCGTCATCGTCAAGGTTTGCGGGTTAAGATTGAGAAAATGGGAGTTGAGTTTGGGGTTGAGATGGTTGTCCTTGAAATGGTTGAGGTTGAGATGATTGTGTTTGAAATTGTTGAAGTTGAGAATCTCCCATCCGCGAAGCTGAGGCGGGAGAAAAAGCATAACTCCCCGGTCTCATAGGTTACCTTTCGATCTTCATCCCCCGTGACGCTCCCAAATCGATCGCTATCCTTTTCTTGCTTTCTTGTTGTCTTGAATTGTTATAGAGCATGGTGTTGTTGAAAAGCTTAAAATTAGGGATTATTGACAAGCCCGGTTTAGAGCATGGGCAAACAATGCACCCGCACAGGGCCCATCTATTTTAGGGGCCCAACTTTTTTTATTATTATTATATACACGATAGCTGAACAAGATACGAACTAAGGCGGAAGATCATCAATCGCTCGTCGACCACGCACCACCAGAAAGACGACCAGAAGTGAAGTGACGAAGTCAATATCCAAAATTGCACAACCAGTCGACCACCTCTGTGAAATCGTCCATCGATTCAACACCGTGTAGCGATTTTCAGGTAAAAGGTTTCTACTTTTCTTTTTGTTTCAAGGCTTGAATCGAAATTGCCAAATCAGATTACTATTGATAATGTTGATTGTTTAATGTTTATCAGAAATCAGATTGTCGACTAGCAAAGTTAATATTATTAATAAACTATCAATAAATCAACATGATTTATGTAAGTTTTAATTTTCATACGACTCCAGGTTACTTCTAGCTTTCCTAACCCGAATCATTGAGTTTTTTTTAGTATTTGTGAATACAATATCAAGGTTCTGCCACTCCCGGTTTAGTAAATAACATCTAGGTAGTAAGGTGCGATTTTAGGCAAGAAACAATGCATACACATGGCTTGAAATCCCATAAATAAACTCACGTAAGTTGTAACTTCTGTGGAGTTAATCAATGAATGTGTGTGTTTCTGTGTAAAGAAAGTTTTTTGCACACACAAGACTTGCATAAATGTTCCTGTAATTTTTCTTATTTTAAGGATTAACACCAACAAAATGGTAGGATCCTATGTTGCAAAGTTCAAAAGGGCATATAACAATCTGGTTCACGGGGTTAGACTGAGTGTTATAACTATGGATGATACTCTCCATACTGAAACATGAAATTGTTGTCACCAAGTTGAAAAGATCTTGGTACTACTGCAGTTTCAAGACAAATTCATATTTTTGAAAGCCTTAAAAGTTGGAGGTTTTCAAGAAGTTGAAGATGTACTATAGATGGTGCTTGTATGGTGATAGATCCGGATGAAAAGATTCAAGATAATATTATGATGTGTTTTTGAGGGTTTTGTAAAGAAACCAAATAATGAAAATGGAGTATTTAATGAAGAATTGGATAATATTTTGTTGGGTAATAAGAGGTTAAGGAACCATCTTCAAGATATGGTTTTATGGATATTAAATTCAGTAAATGGACAAGTGATATACAGTGTTGTTGGTGAAACATGTCCTTCACCTGGGTTAACTCTTAACCCAAAAGAAGACAAAATTGAATGAGGGGGGGGCTTTTTTCCGGCTTGGCCTGGGCATTTAAATCCTCAGGACTGGCCCTGATTATTGAATTGTTGTGGTTTAGGTTGTTGCTAGTAGTTTGGGGATATGAATAGTTGGTGAATATAAGTTGTTGAATTGGGGATGTTAACATTTACATGTAACGAACATGTAAGTATGGATTATTTATAGTGTTTAGGGTGGTTGGGGTGTTTGGAGTGGTTGGGGTATTTTGATTTGTATCCATAATTTGAAGAAAATATGAGGATATAGAAAGAAATTGATGTGTTTGTAGAGTGAAATGTGTATAAAATGGTTAGTATTATATATAATAGTAAATCCAAGGCCCTTGTGAACAGTTCTTCCTTGTGAATGGTGTTTTTTTTTTGTTTTTTTTTTCTGTTCTTGGTAACCTGTCTTCCACCGCATTTTCTTTTACTCCCTGTCCTCCACCGCCACCATCATCCAATAGATACACACCGCTGCATCTTCATACGCAGTTTATCTCGATGTTTCCCACCGCCTCTCCAAAACTCTCCGTCTCTCTCTAAACTCATCGACATCATCGTCAAGGTCTGCTTTTATCTCTCTTCTTCTCCCCGTCTCCTGCCGTTTCTCCCAAATGCAGGAAGCATCGACTGCCATAAAATCAGCGCCTATACAACATCGTTACTCTCCCGACCACTACGACTTTTTCTCTCGCCAAGATTTGGTTCAGCGAGGAAGCGACTGTACCTTCGTCAGTGACCTCCCCATTTCCATCCTGATTTCGTCAATGGCAGCCTCCACCGTTGGCGGCTTGGTCAAATAAACGCTTTTACACACTTGAATCATCGGAACGTAAGTTTTATTCTTCGTTATAACTAATTTTCTGAAGTTTTCTACGCAATCGCCGCTAAGGCTCTTGATTTTCGACTTTCTTCCTTTACCTGCCCTAATTTTTTTATATCGTAGTCTTTGGGAAAGTATCAGTGGAAAAGAACACCACAAAATCTGTAATAGAACATAAAAAGGACCAAAAGATGAAAGTTGTAAATAAACAAATGGTTAAATAATTTAATATTGTGGTGATTTTATCAAAGAGAGCGGATATGTGTGCCAATAGAAGAAGTTGTTGATGAAATGAACGAGTTTGAAAGGCGTACAAATGTTGCAATTGCAAAAGTCTATTGTAATTACTAGAGGGTAATAATCTATTGGAATCCACCTTTTATTTTCGTTTACTTATATATTCTCTCTAAAAGATGTGCATATGCCAAAGAAAAACAGTTTCTTGAATCAAAATTAAATGCAGGTATTGAATATCCACTACATCATAAACTAGTGGGTCGGCATTGGTTCCTTCGACCCACAAATACTGCGAAGGAAGACCCACCTCAGACTGAAGATATCAAATCGCACTCAGCGGATGACTCACGAAATCCTCTTCCTAACACACAAGCATAAAACCCTAATTAGAAATTAGGTCACATTCTAACTCGAAGGTCCAAACCTTAGTTCTTGACTTAAGGCAAAAAGGGCTTCTTTACCCTTACCTCATTGGGCCACCCTCCCTCCAAGTCCCAAATCCATACAAAGTCCAAAAAGGCATCCAAGCCCAATTGTAAGGCCTCTAAGGCCCAATATGGCCCAAGAACACCAACCATGGCCTTAGGCCCAAAAGTGTCGTGTTACAAACGGTGGGCCAAAGGCCCAACCTAAACAAGTCCAACAGCCCAACATTAATCGAGCCCAAAAATAATCTAAGCCCACAGACTGCGTAAGAGCAGCGTACACGAATTGTACGCCCAACATACACTAATGATCATCCAGAATCGGGGAACTGACTGAGTACGCGCAGCATACTCTAGAGTATGCCTAGTGTACTGGTCAGTCAGCCAAAAATGCTCCCATGATTTAATCCCTTAAGCCCTAACGTCCAAAACTTAGATCCAAGCTCAAAATAACGTCTTAAGACATAAAGTTGCAAACTTTATGCTTTTGCATGCCTTGTTGGGGATCAAACTATGAATTAAGCCCATAAACTCACTTAGTTGGTCACTAACACATGCATGACTGATTCTTAGCTTCCAAGATACGATTTTTATGACTCCACACACTTCCAAGAGTCCAAAATGACAGCTCAAATGGCCTGGAGTTGCTCATACTCCAAGAAACCAAGCTATGGGACCAAAAGACGCCATATGCTACCCTAAACCTATATCTAAGCTTGTAATGATCAAGGTTCAAACTTTATACCTTCAATAGGCTAGAAACGGTGCACAACCTCTAGATCTACAAGCTCCTTCTTCTCCTTTGTTTCT